ATATATATATATATATATATATATATATATATATATATATATATATATATATATATATATATATATATATACCTTAAACCTTACTACTCTAAGCGCGCAAAGCATAATGGGAGCACAATTTCAAGCTTAGTAGTTGTATATTGCAGCTGTTTGTGAGTGAAAATGTTTTCGCAGGGAGACTTTTACCATGTCTCTGAGAAATGGGCTCCATATATGCTTTCTAAACTGCTTAAATCGTGCTCCCATTACGCTTTGCGCGCTTAGAGTTTAAGGTTTAAGGTTTTAGAGTTTAACGCCTGTATTCAAAAAGCTCACTCACACTCACACTCAATGAGTGGACACTCATTCTTAATGAGTGCAACTCACCACTCAATAAGTGTCCACTCACACTCACATAGTATAATGTGACACTCACACTCCAACTATTCAAAGACACCACTCACACTCAAGTGAAGCTCCGATTTTGAGTAAAGTGTGAGTGAGAGGTAGACGTCCCTTGAGCCGCACTCAGTTAGACTCACCTTGTATTAGTGATTTATATATGGCGGAAAGGTGGTTTTTTAAGAAGGTTAGAATTACTGGACAATGTCGCAAGAAACAACAGAGACAGGAGGAGACCATATATTTTTTATTATGGGAAATATGACAAGGAGCAGTTTTGATGCAGATATCGGGCAACTAAGGCTGGATTTCGAGAGTTACTGGATATAATTAGACCAGAAATATCTGCACACAACGAGCGAGGAAACTGAGGAAAGCCCATTAGGTCAGATATACAACTTTTGTTGATGCTAAGGTTGTACGCCACGGGTACTTTCCATGTAGCATGCGGAGATTTGTGTGAGATGTCGCAGCCATCAGCAAATCGAATTATAAAGCGAGTATCCGAGGCAATCGCACCGCGCTTAAGGAACAATTACATAACATTTCCTGAGGGCGATATTTTGGATCAACTCAAACTTGATTTCTGGCGAATTCAAGCTGTTTGCGGGCCAAATTTAGATATTTTAAACATTGTTGCACGTTGGCCAGGTAGCATACATGACGCCAGAATATTCGGCAATAGTCGCATATAGTGCACAGTTTGAACGTGGTGATATCCAGAGAGTATATTACTTGGCGATAACGGTTATCCATGCCGTCAACATCTAATGACACCAGCAATTGATCGCAAACCCAACCGCAAACTACCGCAACACAGATATAACTGATGTAACACAAATGCGTACGTACACGAAACACCGTGGAAAGGATGTTTGGCGTATGGAAAATGCTATTTCCATGTCTTTCAACAACGCTTCGCACAAAATTGCAAACGTCCCTAACTATAATTGTTGTTACAGCTGTGTTGTTCAACTTCGTATCTATATGAACCAGAACATATTCTGGCCGCGATGAGGAAGAAGTAGATGTTTTACCGACGTTTGGGCAATGCGGTACGACAAGCCCTGATAATGCAACATTTTACGTAAATTATGAATAACATATTCAATAATTATGATAATGCAATTAATATACGTTGTATGGCTTTTAATTATTCATTTTATTTTCTAGAAGATCTTTGTATTTTGGCACTAATTCAGTTAACAGCAACTTTTCCAATTGCGAAAAATATTGTCTAGCTTCAGCCATATTGTTCAGCAACCCCGTACAATGCATTGACAAGTCTACCACAGTCTCACTATAGTTTATATACCTTCTACATCAACATCAAACCCAAACTCCAGCAAGTCACACTCGAGTGAGCTCTTTGAATACAAATTTAGCTAATATTTTCTAAAGTGAGTGCTCCCTCGTTGAGTGGACACTCACACTCATACTCCACTCTCACTCACACTTCAACCCTACTTGAGTGCCTTTCATTCGAGTCACACTCAAGTGTGAGTGTGAGTGAGCTTTTTGAATACAGGCGTAAGGTTTGCAAAGGACAACCTTTATTGAATTAGCTATATATATATATATATATATATATATATATATATATATATATATATATATATATATATATATATATATATATATATATATATATATATACTTCAGCGCGTTATTATACGTGAATCACTCGGCGTATGAACAATTGGTTTTCATATTTGGAAAGAACATGCTTTTAGCTATTGAATGGCATGCTTTTCATACCAAGTGGAGAAAAAATAACCATGTACGAGAAATAATCACTAACGTGTCGTAGCTTAGCTAAGATTTATTCCTACTTAATAAAAATTATGTATTTTCATTTTTTACCATTTGGCATGAAGAAGATATCATTCAATAGCTAAAAGCATGATCTTTCCGAATAATTTAAAATCTCGTTCATACGCAGAGTAATTCGGATACAATAGCGCGCTGAAGTTCGATTACTTTTTTTTTATACACCCTGTATATATATAATCCCCTGAGTACTGTCTTAATGAAACACGTGCACGAGAAAATGGAATATGTACCTTAACTCCATAGAAATGATAATATATCGGTACTCATGTGCACACTATAGCCTATAATATATTTTCTTACTGTTATTTCTATATGCATGTGTCGTGACATGTACATCTACGGAAATTTGAGGACACGAAGTCCTATCAGTTACACATCTGGGATAGGTAGCCGAAACAACAGAAACAATTACTGAAAAATTTTAATCTGGGTGATCGTACAATAAACCTTCATGCAATGTATTAATTATATTCATGTGCGACTCGTGTGTTTTGGCCTGGCTTAATTGCAGACCCAAATAGAACACAATATCTCTCTCGGAAGAATTTCAATATAGTGCATCTATGACTGACTACAGTAGTTGCAAACTTGTGGGGGAGTATACAGACATCCTGTCTCTATAGGAATTGACATTTTTATTAATTGCCACCCTTTTTCTAAACAAAGAAAATTAAAATCAAAGTTCTTATATTTTAAATAAGTAAACTTAGTCCTTTTATTATGAAAGTACATGCAGGAGCTAGGAAACCTTAGTTGCTTATATACTATCAGTTCTAAACTCTTACAGTTTAAACGTTTCACGTTATCTTCTACAATGACAACAACATCACCTTTGTTAACACTTGGACCCTTCGCTTCGCGAGGACGATGATACTCACGCAATTGAGTTAAGTATTCTTGTTTCCACCTTTTCCAGAAGTGCGTTAAAACAGTTTTTAATGTTTTTCGCGTCGTATTGCTCTTTCTGCGGTGTCAACTTCGTTTGATATACTTGAACGTACGCTCTTCGCTGGAGTAAGTACTCTCCTTCCTAGTACAAGGTGCGAAGGGGTTAACGGTTCATCGTTGTCTTCATACAAGTAAGTCAGAGGACGAGAATTCAACACGTGTTCTATTTGAATCAACAACGTGAGCAATTCTTCGTAAGTCAATCGGGCAGTTTGTAGAACTTTCTTCAAACATTGTTTAACTGACCGAACTAAACGTTCATAAAACCCTCCCAACCATGGGGAACGTGCAACAATATGTACCCACTTGATTCTTTTCGATGTACAAAATTCTTTCAATTCTTTCTACTTAAATGTCTTGCCATTGTCCGAAATCATTGTTGCTGGTATTCCTCTGCGACTCATAAACCTCTTGAAACTACGAATAAATGTTTCACTAGTTGCATCAACGGCGAGATCTAAATAAACTGCGCGACTCGACGCACATGTGTAGAGTACAATGTACGCTTTATACATTTTACTGTCCTTAGAATATATGTTCTTCACGAATAATGGGCCAGCATAGTCAACTCCTACTCTTGAAAAGGCAACGTCGTTATCTAAACGGTATTCTGACAAGGGAGGTGCTGGCGGCACTTCGTAAGATTTGCCCTCTAATGGTTTGTACGTTAAACATCGAGCGATAATCTTCTTCACTACTTGTCGCCCTCGTACGATCCAATATCTCGATCTAACTTGAGTTACAGTTTCCCGAACGCCATTATGCATAACTTCAGTGTTACAATGCAGAACTACGAGATTAGTAAAATCATGATCGCTGGGTAATAACATAGGAAACTTCGTTTCGTTAGGTAGATTTGACTATTCCGTTCGACCATGACAACAGATTAGTTGCTCATCGTCCACAAATAAACTTAAAGATCGTTTCATTTTATTATATTTCGGCAGCTTTGTTAAGGAAGCTTGCACATGCTTAATCCAGGATTTCTCGGCCACATCTAGTTCTTCAGCAGTTAGAAAACCCTTCAAAATTTCCTCACCTTTCAAACTTCGTTTTACATTGTCAACGAATCTCTTCACATAGGCTGTTACACGAAGCAAAGTTTCTAACTTACTATACTTCGAAGCCTTTAGCAAGTTCTCTATACTGTGTTCTGGTTGTACATCAGTATCAACGACTGCCGCCATCACAGTCTGTTTGGATGTCTTCAACTCTTGCAACGTATTCTTGCTTTCTTCTCCGTGCGACGGCTGTACCGGCCACGAATCTTTGAGATTTAGTAAAAAGGTAGGACCATACCACCACTTATCATCCGCCGCGAGCTTCGATACTGATTCTCCCCTTAAAGCAATATCTGCTGGATTGTCTTTTGTTGGGCAATATCTCCAATCCTTTGGATCTGTCAATCTTCGAATTTCCTGAACTCTATTTTCTACAAACTGTTTGTACTCTTTACACACACTCCTTATCCAGCTTAGTGCAACCGTTGAATCGGACCAGAAGAAAATAGCATGGATCTTTAATATATTAAGACGTCTTGTAATGCCTTACGAATGTTATCTAGTAATCGTGCCGAGATTAAACATCCAAGTAATTCAAGACGTGGTATCGACTGTTCACTCATGGGTGCTACTCTTGTTTTAGAGGCGACTAAATTGCATTTAACTCCTGCTTCATGCTCGTATAAGATATAAACGCAAGCACCATTCGACGCCTCTCTTGCATCGTAAAATGCATGCAACTCGATTAACCCTATTCGTGTTTCTTGAAAGTAACAGCGTGGAATAGAAATTACTTTGGCATTCTTCAAGTTGGAGACGATTGCTACCCATACTTTACAAAACTGTTCGCTCAATTGTTCATCCCACTCAACATTACTCTTGCACAATTCTTGGAACAACAGCTTTAGTTGAAGAATAACAGGTGATATCAGCCCTAGAGGGGCATAAAACTTTGCTGTAATGCTCAACACAATTCGATTTATACAACTCTTTGGATCATAACCAGCTACAACATTGGCCAAATTAATTTCAAACTTGTCATTCAGGACATTCCACGTTTGACCAAGGACTTTACTGTTCACATTATTCTGGCCACCAAGAGCTGATTTTGTGTAACCACAATATAATCTTCTTCGTTCACAGTTGGTAAAGGATCTGCAGTAGGACTAGGAATATCTTCAGCGAAATCGGGATCTACTTGAAACACTTGTTGAAGTTCTGGTGAATTAGTCTGCCATTTACGCATGTTGAAATCTCCTGTCGAAAGTCGAGATTTAATCTTTCTTGCTAGTTCTAACGCTCTAGGTATACTCTCGCATCCAGATGCATAGTCATCGACGTAGAGAGATCGCAAAAGTTCGTAGACAAACTCTGGATCATTCAGTAGATATTGATTAACATGATGACAAATGATAGCGTTTAAAATGAACGGACTTGACGTAACTCCAAACACAACACTGGCGAATCTAAGGTGTATAACGCTTGGGCTGCTGCTGTAGGGGTCATTTAACAATAGAAATCTAAGAAAGTCACGATGTTCCTCCGCGACTGCAACGTTCAAAAAAGCTTTTTCTATATCAGCTGTCATGGCAACCGAGTGGACACGGAAACGCAGCAAGATGTCGAAAATCAGTGGGGTTAGAGAAGGTCCAGTTTACAAACATTCATTTAAACTAGGTCCTGTTGTCTTAGCTGACGCCTCGTAAACCACTCTAACTGTCGTAGTGTCTTTGTCAGCTCTCACAACCTCTCTGTGGGGTAGGTAGTGCACATTTCCAGCCTTTGGGACAACTTGTGGGTCAACATGTTCCACAATTCTCTTCTGGACTTGGTCTTGAATTATCTTATCATATTCAGTAAGAAGAGCAGGTTGATCTTGGAGTCGATGAACTAATCTTCCTAATCTTTTTACACTAACAGCATGGTTATAAGGGATGGTGGGATTCTGCTCTTTAAAGGGTAATTTTGCTTTATACCTCTCCCCATTAAATCTAACTTCTTCAACAAACTTGTGATAGACTGAACTTTCGTCACTCTGAATGCCTATAAACTCTAACTCCCAAAATTTATTAAGTTGCTCAGTCATGTTCGGGTTTAGGTTATCCTGAACTGGGGTAGCATCAATCCGTAATACATGAGTTGCAGCGAAGTGAAGTTGGTTGTGGAACTAGATTCTTCACTAAGGTTATCAATGGGACCAGACAAAACCCAACCTAGCCTAGTTGACAGGGCAACAGGTCCACGTCCTTCACATCTTCTTGACTCATTAGACACAAAGTTCCAATAGAAGTCAGCTCCAATTAGAATGTCAATGTCGACATCACTAGAAGGACTACTGTTATCTGCTAAGTCTAAACCATTTAAATGCGGGTATTTATCCACTGCTACTTCTACTGCTTGGTTAGAAATCGGACTACATTTACAGGGACACTAAAGTCATTGACATACAATTCTAAGCCATCAGTGGCTGTAATAGAGACTTGGACTAGATCACACGTTATCAATTTTGGGGAGTCATTGCCAAATGTTTTAACCAAAAGGGATTGTTTATTAACAGGTTTGACACCCAATGAATTCTTCAGCCGATTTGATATATAAGATCTCTGACTGCAGGTATCGAAAACAAGTCTCGATTGCAATTTCTGCTGTTGGGGGACATTAGGGTTTCCCACCATAGCCTTTGCAGTTTGCAAAAGCACCGAGACATTGCTGTTTGCACAAACATTAGTTGATGCTTCATTTCCCATGGCCTGAAAGGGTGGTTGTTGATTTTGATTCTGGTTGGGTTTGGCCGGTAGGGTTCTCCCTTGGTTGTATGCCTTCACAGAGAGAAATGTAATGGTTATTTCCACATTTCGGGCATTTAAACTTGGAAGGACAATGTCTGACTATATAACCAGACTTCAAACATGGAAAACACCGTCCCTTTTTTCGGAGAATAGCTCTACGTGCTGAAATATCTGTAATTATATTACACCGTGATGATAAATGTTGTTCCCCACAGTACGTACATTTCTGGATTAAACGATTGTCACTTCCCGTAAAAAGTGTTGATGATGTACTAGGCTCATATTTTCTCCTGGCACCGTCCTTTTTCTCTGTAGTGCTTTGTAACAACGAGCCACTTTCTCAAGCCTCTAACTCAATTCTAAATTCCTGAAGTAACTGATCTAACTTCCAATCATCCTTGCCAACTTTCCGACTTATCAACAACTGCATTTCCTCTGGAAGTTTAGCAAGAATCATTGGAATCAGAAGAGTCCCATATGTTTCACTTTCTATGTTCAAATTCGCTAGACTAAGAATATGCGTTTCAATACTGTCATACAGATTCCGAATCTTGACAATTTCATGTGTAATAGAAACAGGTTCCAACTTCAATAGGGCATCAACATGACTGGAAACTATAATTTGTGGATTTGCAAATCTCTCTTCCAAAAGTTTAAAATTAAAGCAGTCT